TAAAATATTAAAAGGTGTGGTTGCTATTATAATTATTTCCAGGATTACTTTTACCAACACGACTTAGTGAAGGTTATAGAGAATAGAAATCAATAAGTTAGTTAAACGTTCACTACGTAAGTATTAGAGACGAGTTATACGTATGTGACTATACTGAAGACTGAACTGGCCTCCAGTTTCCGTTCTACCAATAGTTGTGGTCTTTTAGACGAGCTAGGGTGGACATGGTAATGCGTCTTTCTATGTTCCGTTTGAACCCATCGGGGTTTTCACACCTTATTTCAGGTGGTAGTTGGTTTCAAAGAGTGCAATATTTAATGGTGAAAAAGTTTGTCCTAGTGGATTTTCTAGTTTTTGCATCCACGATCAAATTTCTTTCCTATTATAAAACTTCGATAAGACTGCTGAAAAATGGAAAAAATATATCACTGATCTCAAAATAATACATCAATAAACTTTAAACCAAGGGTGCTGTTCACAATAAAGTTATATAGGAGAACTGACTTCAAGCTTTTTTCCCAGATATTTGAATTACATTCATCTGATGTCCGGGTTTTTGCTAATGCGAATACAATATTTCTATATCTCTTTACGTGTTACACAAACAGACTTTATCGCAGACTGTTCTGACTGACTCTAATGTCAGAAAGAACAACCAAACTGTAAATTCGCCATACATCAAATTATGTGTAATTTATATAATAATTTATCCATGCCTGTACAAGTGGTATGTTCCTACATAAAAAGGAGTAAATATATATTTTTATATATTATCTCTTCCTGAGGGTTTGCAATGTTGTTTTCGACAACTCACGTTGAAGCTCGGTAACTTCTTTATGAAGACTAGCCAGTTTCACACGGTCGATGTCATCTACTTGGACAGTGGAACAAATGGGCGGTAGAGCATCTGCCGCGGTGTTGTTCACACTGGATATACGGTGAATATTCGATGCAAACTGTGAAGTATAGCCCAGTTGGCATGGTCCTCATGGTGCATACTTATCTGAAGTTGAATTCAGAAGGTGCGTTGGAGGTTGTCGGTGAGTGAAAATCATGAAAGTTATTGTCCTCCGGTGACCTTCGGAAGTGGGGTATATCACAGCACATTGCCAAAAGTTCTGTGCTGAATGTGTTGTACTATGTTTCTGCTAATTGTAGGCGCCTCGAGTAGGAGGAGAGTGGTTGCCACTCTCTGTTGACTAGTTGTTGCAGAACTGCGCCAGTTGAAGTGTCGGATGCACTGACAGAAATATATAATGGTTCCACCTAATCCTGAGACATATGTAAGATAGCATTAGCGATGGCACTTTTAACCAGAAGTGAGACATAATGGGGCGCGTCAGGTTCAATGGTCTTGTTGTCCTGCCGAATTGGATCCGTCAGTGGCTGAATCAGGGATGCGCAGTTAGGAATGAACCGTCGGTAATAACTTGTCAAACCATTAGAAGTGTGAAGAGTTTTCACATATTTGGTTCTGGAAAGTTTAAAATTGCCGCAACTTTACTGGTCACTAAGCGATACCGTCTCAGTCCGGTGATTTTATTCCTATTTGACACCTTCGAATATCAGCGGTAACACCACACTGGCGTGACCTTTAGAATGCTAAGTTCAGGTGTGTAAAATGAGTTTCCTTGTTTGAACTCGCAATAAAGCAGTCGTCAAAGTATGCGTATACGAAGTTCAGACTACGAAATACTTCGTCGTTGAATCGTTGGAATGTTTGTCCTTCATTTCGGAGGCCGAATAGCATACGTAGAAATGCAAAAGGTCTGAAAGGTTCAGTCATAGACGTGTTCGGAATATCTTCTGGTGACACTGCGACTTGGACGCTTTAACCAAGTCTATTTTCGAGAAGATAGTTGCGCCAGATAATGTTGCCGTCAAGTAGTGTATGTGAGGCGATAGATAGCAATCAGGGGTAGTTTTGGTGTTCGCTCACCGGTGATCACTAGTGGGTCGCTAATCGTCGCTCTCATTTTTTAGTACCATTTGCACTGGGGATGCCCATGGGCTATTCGATGGCCGAGTGATTCCAAGGGTGAGCATTTGGTCGAACTCATTTCTAACGAGTTTCACTTTGTCAGGAGCAAGTCGTCGTGCTTTAGATTTCATGGGTCATTCTGAGGTTATTATGTGATGCATAACATTGCTGGTTATGCAAGGTAGATCTTCAGATAGGCAATTAAGTTCCGGGTACTTATTAGCAATCGGTTGAACAGTTGGATCCACTGTTGTCTTCTTCGTAACGAGTGACAAGCCATGGCCTAGGTAAATGATGCCTCTGATAGAAAGTCTAGTATTACTGTCTATCAGTCGTTTTTGGGGTACGTCTACGAGTAAATCATAATGATTAAGTAGGTCCGTGCCAATGATGGGCATTGTGGAATTAAAAAGAAGGAAAACTCACTGAACAGGTTTGTCTAAACCTACGTTTAGACAGACGTATTTCCTACCAAAGGTTGCAAGTGGTTAAAAATTTTCAGACTGTAATCTGAAGGTAATTTTACTTCTTCAGCGGGTTTTATTGACTGTATCGTGGATTATAGTAGGTGGCTACTGCCGCTAACGCGTGCCGGTGTAGTGGTTCCTCAGTGTCTTAGAAGCACTACCAAATTTACGGTTTTCGTCCACATGTAACTTCCTTGCCATGGGTAGTGTGATATTAACACTGGACAGTGTTTTTAGGGAAACGTGGTTCAGATTTTGACCTACCACATAGGTTAAGCCATTGAGGCGAATTTGGTCGATAGTAGGAGGAAAAACGGAAACTATTTGACTGAGGTAATCTCTTAACGGTGTTGTGTAACTCTGTTGGCTTAGCGTCCTTCCTCGAAGTCCGTTTGGTGACCCGGCACATTCGCGTGACCGGCCATTGCGCCATTTTCAAAACTTCATCAGCAGAAGTAGAACGTGTATAAACGTAAGGGGCTGTGGGTCAGTGGTCGAATGTCCACTGAAATCAGAATTGCCTGTTCCTGTGTTGGTCAAATTCCCGCACATGTGGTGAGCTAAGCCAAATATAATGTTGGGATTAGTGGAATGAGGCTGTTAGTCCTGGCGTACATTGAACGATTGTCCAGTTACCTTGCTCACTCGAACCAGTCTTACTTCCGTTGGTGGCACCTTTATTTATCATGGTGTTACGCTTACTAAAAGACAGAAAACCAGATCAAGCCGACAGGAAGTATCCATGCACATTATACTAACTTTTATCTAAAGACTATTTTTAAGAGAATTTATAGTGGCCAGCTAACGACTATAGCTATAGTAGTTCACAGGTGGCTGACCAATAAAATTCTGGCATTCCTGTTCTTCTTTTATTATCATATTAGCTCGAATTGAGCTGGGTGTTAAATAGCTAAATGGTATTCCGAGTTCTAAAGAGTTGTCATGCGACAGCAGAACAATGCATGATGGTGTTTTTGACAGTCATTCGGGAAAATTCAAATGTGTAAGTACAAGTGTATTAGCAACAAGTCATGATAATCACCATGATAGATACAGTATGAGAGATATGGTGCAAACAGCACTTATGAATATGTCTTACTCAATGGAGGCTCAGGTAATACTACTGAAGGAAATTCTCTCAGAAAAGTATATGAACTGAGCAATGTCTATTCAGTTGCTAGTAAGGAAACAGGATTTCAAATCGGAGGCAAACAAACTAAATATTCGCAATGTGAGGAGGTCTGCGGCGGAAAATTAAATTTCTCAGTTTCGATGACGGAAATAAGTTGGACATGTTGAAAAGGCAATTTTCTATTTTGCGACTCCAGGGAAAAACTTAAAACACTCGTAAATAATGCTCTGCATCTGTATAGGCGTGGGACACTACCATTTCTTACGGACTGCTTCACGCCTCTCCATCTCTGAGACCTCGAGTTGCTTAACATGGTGAGATAAACTTGATGTGCTGTTTAGTTTTTATTACTCTGCATATGACACAAGGCAAAGATTGAGTTCGTAAAACCTACCAGCAGTGCATGCTACAGGAATCATTTTAATGTGTTGCAGAGGGATTTCGCAAAGCCTTATGAGGCTTATGCTACCCACCACCAAAACCCATCCGATATAGCCAATATATATCCCATGTAATTGTGATTCTGTGACTTTGAGACCAGTGCATATACTGGCAAAGATATCAGAATATCTTTCTCTTTATTCATTTTACTATTGCTGAAATATTCTTTTAATACTGAAGCAATAATGGATGGTGTGGCAGTGCACCTGACCTGTCACCCAGACATATTAACATTCCCAGCTTAATTTAGTAGAGTGAATAATCGTCAAGTTTTTTGCCAATTTTTTTTAAAGTGAAGTATTATTTCCAAATCAGGATAATCAGATGCCAATTTATTTTAGTGAACTAGATATTTGGGAGTCACGCGAGTTTCAGATTTTTGAAAACGTGACAAGGGAATTCAGAGGGGGAAGTGAAGAACCACCTTTTCGACCTTGGAAACGCTTAGTTTTAGTGAACCATATCCCCTACACCAAGTCTACATCCCTAGAAAAGGAAGGTATATATCTCAGAATAGTCTGAAGGAGTTCATACACTGCTCACTGCATTAACTGTGTTTCAGTGATCCAAAGTCTCAAAATACACGAATAAAAATGTTGATTTGTCATAGATAAGCTGAGATAATCCACAACTAGCTGTAGCTGCGTGTAGCACATATTTACTATTAGACTGGTTAGCTAACTGCATTAAGCAGTAAGATCTCATCATAGAAACCGTAACAGCAGGCTTAGATGAAAATAACGCGAAATTTTGTGTTTCGTTATTTCTGCAACTTTCGTGTTCCTTGTGTTTAAATTCATGAGGTAATGATTTTTGACCTACAGCTGAAAAAGGCGGCTTCCAGCCCATTCACTCCTTTCGCTGTGTCGAGGTTTGTCGCATACGCGCTACATTTTGATTTAGTCGTTTTTAGGGGTTATCAACCCTCTTATTTTACATGAATTTGGACCTGGTGCTGCAGTCCTAAGAGTATGCTCAGATGTCTTGGTTAAGGAATCTCTGCATAAGCGCCAGCCGATACCATAAAGTGTGTCTCCCTTTGTTGTGCGTATGGAACAGTAAAAATAAACCGGTAATATGTCATTTTGCATGCCTAAGACAGTTTACTCAGACCTACTGTCTGGTCTGTTGAGTTGTCATGTCACATTTAGTGTGCCGATTATTGATATGAACTGCCTATTTTCATGCACTAATATGATTTTATTACTAATTCCTACTCAAAGTTCTGAATTTTTTTGGTGTCAAGCTTTTTGAAGGAGAAAGCAGGAAAACTGGCAGTCCAAGTAATAAACTCTTTGGGATATAAAAACACCAAGGACATACATATGAACATCTCATGTATTATCTCACATAACTACTTCGTACAATCCAGTTGGTCAACATATTTACCAGTCCTAGTACACTTCCCCTACGATCAATTTCTCTTAAGCACTTGGGACTAACTTTGGTGGTATTTTGCTATTACTCAACTTTGCCGACAAGTAGATACTAATGACTGCCTTCCATGCGGTTTTTTTTCAAAATTCCTTTACACTTTTTCGCCTGCATTCAAGCTTTCACTATATATTTTTCTTCAAAAGGTTTTGTTTGAAGAATGATATATGACTTCATTTTAGGGTATACTGGTTGTGAATAGTGAGAAACCCACTTACCTTTCCTTATCAACGTTTACGACTCAAGATTCCTATACACAGTCCAAGACTAGTCATAGAAAGAAAGTCTAGCTTATATATGCGTTTGTTCATAACCACTCATTCAAGTTCCCGTTTCATTGTATTCCACAGAGTTCTTTACTTCACAGTAGGCAAGGTCTGTCATACTTTGTTGGGACGCTAAAATAACCTTGGCCACCAGTTTCATTTTGAAATCTTAGAGGTCTAATCTCAATGGTCAAGTGTCCTGTAGATATACTCAAATACTCAACGATATGACAAATCCGTCAAATGCTGTTTCCTAAGGTTTCAAAGGAGTATGTTATTTAGAAATAATCGATAAGATAGGGCCGTCTCATATTCCTTTTCGTAAATGTACTAGTGTTAAATTTCAGATTATTGAAGCTCCTTTTTGTTTTGTGTCATATACATTTATTAATTTCCTCAACATTTTAGGCTCACGCCATGCCACCAATCGATGGGACTTCACAGTGGCTACGAAAGACTATCGAATCGGCCGCTGTGTTAGTATTCAGCAAAACTGGATGCCCGTTTTGTCGAAATGTTAGTGGCTACTTCTTACATTTTATGTTTTTTAGTTGAAGCAAATTTTAGCTGAGGAGAAAATCAAGCATGCAACAATCGAACTAGACCAGTTACGTAGGTTTATGTTTTTCTTATTCTTCCTTCCAGCTAATGGTCCAGCTATTCAAAAGTCATTATATAACTTCTCAAAAATCCAAACAGTTCCTCAAGTATTTGTTAGAGGCAAATTCATCGGTAAGTTTTGTATTGAGCTGAAGTAAATCTTCTCTCAAGGGGATTCTCAAACGGTTATAAAATACCGCAATAATAACGAGTTGGCTGCGATTGTCAATGAAAACGATTATGACTATGATCTAATAGTTATTGGTGGAGGGTCTGGGGGACTTGCTGCAGCAAAGGTACTCTTGAGTTCATATTTTGGTAATACATTCATACTGATTATGAAAATCTACGTGTTAACAGATTCTAAGGATTCTGTTATCTGAGTCTATTCGGGTTACTGTTTTCCCTTAATAAATATAGTGCTGCGCTGACTATATTTTAGACTCATTGGAGGCGGAGTATTAACAGGTTTCATCATGTGATTAGTGTCAAAATCTTCGTATGTGTATTCACTAGACATGTAAAAAGCGCGTATGCGTTAGTCTGGTTTTTTGAAGATCGTTTAAAAAATGAAATAAAAGCTAAATCAATTTACTCGGCTTTAATAGCATTGTCATCCTTCTACACCTCTGCCCTCAATTAATTCCTCCAGAAAACCTTTAAAACCCATAAGGTTTTCTCTCAGTTCCAACTCAAGTCAAATGTTCGTTAAATTTAGGGACTACAGTTTGTATCCTTACATGGAGGTAATGAAAGAAATAATGAACAAAGGATTCCTTCATGTGTGATCTTCCAGCCTGGTGGTTTGTCACTTGTTAAAACACATGTTTTGCAACTAGATCTAACCGAATATTAATCATCGTGGCCTAGAAATATCCCATTCTTCTTCAACTTCCTATACCCCACTACCATCGCTGCATTTATTTCTCGTTGAAGATGCGTGGTTTGTCATACGAAGTAGCGACTCTTAGTAATATGTCATGACTCCTTTTTACTTCAGTGGCAGTTTATAAAGCAGTAGATTATCCCGTTAAAGATTATTACTGTTCTTCGTGTTAATGGCCTATCGATTTGATGGTATTTATACATTCCTTCTGTTGAAGGTTTTTGACTCATAACGAAAAGTTAACCACTACTTGTCTGTGTAACGAAATGATTGTCTCACGATTAGTCGCAAATTTTGGTGAGTGCTAACTGCTTGAAAAACGGCTGTCTTTACTCACGTCCAGTATTCTTAACATAGTGTGCTTCTCTTATGTAATATTTACTTTCCCTTTTTAGGAGGCAGCGAAATATGGAGCTAAAACAGCTGTCCTAGACTACGTAGAACCAAGTCCTGTGGGTACGACTTGGGGCTTGGGAGGAACTTGCGTGAATGTCGGATGCATTCCTAAGAAATTGATGCATCAAGCTGCGATCCTGAGTAAGTTTGGTGTTGTGTCATTTTTGATGCATCAACTAAATATAACCAAAGTCTCTAGATGACTACCTACCATAGCACTTTTTTATGTCAATACTAAATAATTATCAGGTCTAATGGAAATACATTTTACCTCCAACAGGTCATTGTTTGGAAGATGCTCACCATTTTGGATGGGATGTAGACAGATCCAAAAGTAAGTATCGCTTTTATGGTTGACGTGTAGGATGTGTCCATTATGTTCCACACTTATACATTTTTTAAGTCTGTTCCTTACTATTGAGTCTTATTCATATTTTCGTGCTGGAGTTCTTTTTCAAAATCGGTAAAAGTACCTAACCTTCACATGCTTTTTAAAATCGTCGAAAGTTCACGTAACCGTTTTAAATGCTGCCGTAGGCGCTTTGCTTACGGTTAGCATTTGTACAACACAAGAGAACTTTGCTTACGCTTATTTGTATAATCAGTAATACCGTCATGGTTTATTTGAGGAGTTTGGTGTACAAAGCCTTATTCATGCTCTAAATATTAGAGAAAGATATCCCTAGGTCTGGCTATTCGTTCACAATTGTCGGTCACATTTTATGATGAGATACATAACACTTGGTTCCGTTGATGGGCTCATATATCACTAAAAGGACTATTCATATGAATACAGCTCCAAACATTGGTTTACTGAGCTGAGATACGTTTCACACATACTATCCCAGCAGATCCTCTACTGTTTCTCTGAGAACAATGGAGATGAGTAAAAAGACGTTAAGGGTATCATGCGGCTCATTGAAGCAAAAGACTCTTTTAAAATCAAATAATTCAGATAACCCCATTGCGAATATGTAACTGAACTGAAATGGGATCGAATGTAGAACTTAACACAAAATTGTAACAATTCAAGTCGCCTAACGTGTGGAAATAGTGTACATTCAGCCAGCCACTCCTGGACTTATTTAAGTCCCACTCCACCTATTTCAGTCTGAGTGACGTGGTAGCATCATCAGCCCTCGTACTGTGGTACATAGAAAATCTGTACCGAGTCAAAAATCTCTGACTATGATATTCCACATGACTTGGTGTTATCTTGCATGCTTAAAGTTGTACAACACGCCTCTCGTGTTTACTTCTTTTAAGTAGTGATATCAAGCAACATTTAGTTCCCTTTCCTTTTTAATTTCATCATCGACGTATTAATGGAATTAACTCTAACTGACTTCAGTAACTTCGCAGGGGATAGTCTTGTGGACTGTGTATGCGAATGATATTGCCCTACTAGGTGATGGTGATGATGATAAAATGGAGTCTTCTGGACACCTTGAGAAGGTATCTTTGAATGCTTCCCATGCAATTAGCCGTTTTCAAACGTACAATGATGCTTCAGGACTGGGCTAGATCGGCTCGTAGTTTAAAGACGGGTAGTGTAGTGGTAGGGTTTGCTGATCAAATCACTTATTCGAGAAGTTGCATCAACCCCAACGGGCAGATCACTGGCGAAATCTCAGCATGGATACAAAAGGCTCTTGTAGCATTTGCCAGCTTACGTCATCTCTGGCGTAGACGTGATATCCGGCTATCGATCATAGAACTTGTGTATTGCTCAGCAGTTGGCTCCGTCCTCTGTGAGACATGGCCATTGAAAGTTTATTTATTTATTTTATTCAAGCCAGAGCTTTGAAGTTTCAGTAGGAGCTTTTATTTTTCGGGCTGGGTTTGCTAGCCTCACACCAAGCCTTCCCTCTTTACCGATCTTACTACTGGCTCAATGAAGCAAAGAAGTGCGTCGGTCGGGGATCGAACCTCAGACCATATGAATGGTTGGCGAGTACTCTACCGTTGTACCACTGACTCACGGTCATTGAAAGTGTAAGACTTAAAAAGGTTAACTGTGTTTGGTCATAGGTGCCTGAGTTCTGTGGGGTATAATAGGGTAGTATGGATACTAGACGTCGAATATTAGGTAAGGAGGGAAAATCTATCGACAAGGTCGTAAAGCTATATCGATTGAGGTGGCAGGGGCATATTTTACTCATGCCTAACCATCTCCTTCCTTGAAGGGCAACGTTAGATGACATGGTATTAGGGTTGAGAAAGGATAGTGGTAGGCTAAACGAAATCATGGCACCAGTCCATGAAATCTATAACAATTAGTTTTAGCCACGTAGAGAGATGTAGGCTGCCTGTTTGGAGTCCTCGGAATTCTGAGAACCAGCGTTTGGAGACAATTGGTGAAATGACTCAAGTGGTTCCAAATAGCTCAGACGCAGTAGCTCTCTGTGATTCGCCATATCCAAAAAACCCTATTGTTTCTCCATGTCACTATTCTTTTCCCCTCACATTCCTGTTTATTATCGTTCTTCTGAACCTCTTCTTTTTTTGTCTACCCTTGTGTGTTACATAATGTGACAAAGTTCTATGTTGAAACCAGTCAGTCAGTTTTTAGATCTAGATTTATGCTCACAACAGGTATATGTTTTCGAAGTACAGAATGATAGTTCTGCTTCGTGGCTAACCTTCACATATCTTTACCCGTTGTCTTCAATATCGGATGTGGTACAGTATTAAAAATTCTCTTATAGCAGCTGCTGTTTTGTTTGCTTATCTCTTTCGTTGCAGGAATGTACTTTCACCACTAATACTTTACTTTTGTTTTCTTATTTCAGTTTCTCACAAGTGGTCTACCATGGTAGAAGGAGTCCAAAGTCATATTGGTTCTTTGAATTGGGGCTACAAAGTTGCACTTAGAGACAATCAAGTTACATATTTAAATGCACGCGGTGTTTTATTAGGTCCTCATGAAGTGCAGGTATGTGAACTACCTTTCATTTTCGTTCTCTTTCAATAAATATCGTGTCTAAGCCTTGTTGTTAGGCTCATACATAATGTAGAAAGAAGTATAACGAGATGTGAGGTAATAGTGATATGTAATCTCGTACTAATTTCGCATTACTGGTGATAACTATTGCATTAATGGAGTTTGCCTATTAGTCCAGGGACAATTCGATTCTAGGCCTGTGCATAACTCACAAATTTGAACCTTAATCCACTTATCATCGTGTGAATATTCAGATAATTTTAATGACTCATTACCAAAATCGTTTGCCGTTGAATTAATAGAAAGTGATTGGTCACGAAAATGCATCTTTAAGCCTTTGTTAAAATAACAATTCTTGGCTAATTGTTGCTAGAATTTAGTTTTATTTTAAAGTTTTAAAATGTTGTGTATTTTAAAATTCCATATTTGATTTGCTGAGGAGTTTAACATATTTCAGTATAAACACACGATTGTATATTTAATATCTTTTGGTATGTTTCATTACTTCAATTTTATAGACGTTAAAATTCAAAAAGAGTTCAAAAGTAATAGATCAATCAGTGAGAACCTCTACGTTCCCCTTAAAATTCTACCTTGAGTCTAGTTGTGTTACAAGTGTTCTTTTTGTTGATTTTGGAAAGTTATGTTTCACCGATTAACTTCCTAGAACATCATAGGTTTTTATTCATCTGTGGCATTAAGAATTATCCTCATCAGTTTTTTTATTTTCTCCTGAATTACTGCAGATTACAGAAAGAAACAAGAAGGTCTCTACGATAACTGGAAACAAAATTATTCTTGCTACGGGTGAACGGCCAAAATATCCAGAAATACCTGGGGCAGTTGAATATGGAATTACAAGGTTGGTAGAAGTAGCAGTATCAGTTTGTAGTAAATATATATATATATATATATATATATATATATAATTAATATCCCATGTGAACAGATTTTGGTGTCTTAGTCATATCTTCACCGTCCTTCCTTTGGCGATATCTGACTTGATGTTTTCTTTACTTTTTTCAAATCTCTGCAATCAACTTTAGTTCTTCTAATTTTTTTCTTTCCTTCACGTTCCCCAGTGGAACATAGGGCTTCAAGCCAGTTCCTGGAAGTTTCTGTAACAGTGTTTATTTTACAGAATGAGGTTGCTAGCCTCATGCCTAACTTTTCCTCTTTACCTGCATTATTTCTGGTTTAGCGAGGTAAAGGAGTGCGTCGGCCGGGGACCGAACCCCGGACCGCGTGCATGGTTGGCGAGCGTCCTAACCGCTTTACCACCGACGCAGTTCTTCCAATTTACGAATTGCGAATTCCGTGTAATTCTTTTGTTAGGTTGTAGAAAACCTGAAACGGCGTTTCCAACTTAGTGCAAGGCTTTTGTAACCATTTAACTCTTGTCCCACATTAAGCAGTAAACCATAACTGCATTTTACCTGTCATTTACAACGTAATTACACAAACGAATATGCTTATCGAAATTCGCACTGATAATAAGTCCTATAAGTTCTCTTATCCACTTATTGAGATACGCCAAGAGATTTTTCAAGTGTTGGTTTGTAGGGATTTGATTGGTTTCAGGATTTCATCATGAGCTGACATTAGTTAGAGAACCATTCTGTCTGTCTGTTTTCGACATAGAACTTTGCACAAATGTGCGGAAGTTCAAGTCGCCACATTCCGTGTAGAACCATTGGAAAACTTGGGAGTACTGGATAGCTGTTTCGTCCTAGTTTGGGACTATAAAAAAAATAAATATAATAAAAATTTGTACTCCTTATTTGAACTCAATTGTCGGATAACTTGTGCATTTTTTTGAATGAGTGATGACTATCTCTTGGTGCGTATGACAATAATTGACCCCAAAACTCTGAATTCAAAACGCGAAAAAATTATGCTACTTGTGAGATCAAGATGTTCTGAAACATTTTTCTTTCCTTTTTCAGCGATGATCTTTTTTCTTTACCATACTTCCCCGGTAAAACACTTGTTGTGGGAGCGAGTTATGTCGCTCTAGAATGTGCTGGTTTCCTGGCTAGTTTGGGTGGTGATGTTACTGTTATGGTTCGTTCCATTTTACTGCGTGGTTTTGATCAACAAATGGCTGAAATGATTGGTGACTATATGGAGAAACATGGAGTCAAATTTGCAAGGCTATGCATACCGGATGAGGTTAGTTTAAAATCAGCAGTCACTCAGGATTTGAATTTTTCTAAAGACTTTACTTAATAATCGGGTTTTTATATTTTCCTGTGTAGTTATAGTATTTCCTCACTACTCTTGAAGAATAATATCCTGATGTTTGTTTAGCTGGACGGGTGTTGTTTCATACAACCTTTTTCATTTATGCAAACATCTAAAAAATATATTCCAAACATTTCTGAGATTTACAGAACATTTGTGCATAACACTGAATGTTTATAATCAAGGCAATAAACGAAACATTTGTTTCAGTAGTTATAAACAAGTACTAAGTTCTCAAGTTGATTGCCACTTTCTTCCTCGCACACAGGGATGATTATGTTACTGCCTACTTACATTTGTAATACTTAACTTTAAGACTGTTGCTTTCTGAATTATCGAAATTTCCTATTAAAGAGCAATAAAGGTAATATCAGGGCATCCGTTCAAAGTAGACTTGCTGAAACGAGGCTGGTCAATTCAATCTTGAAGTAAGCAGGTGAAATAATAGGTATAAATAAATATCACCAATGACAATCATTACTTAACTTATTCGCTTATCAGAATTGATCTATGTGTTTGTCTTAAACCACCCTTTTACACCCGTCTTTAGCTGTTGTTGGCCCACATTCAAAAGAATTTCAGTTTCTGTTATTGCTGTATTTTTCTATAAAAAAAATCTTGTAGGATTTCATCATGAGCTGACATTAGTTAGAGAACCATTGGAAAACCAGGGAGTACTGGACAGCTGTTTCGTCCTAGTTTGGGACTCTTCATCAGTACGCACCCACCGGGATTCGAACCCAGGACCTTCCGAGTACAAGGCGAGCTCGTATACCATTAAACCACTGGGACCCGATCCAATGGTCCTTGAATTCTAACTTCTGCCAATTCACGACATAGCGCGACCGCTAGCCAATGTCTTCGGCCAGTATTTGTCCTCACACCCGACCAGCTGCACCCTACTGGTCACGACTTCCCACTGGAACCCAGGTAACTACCTACCTGAATAGGGCCAGTAGTTACCTGGGTTCCAGTGGGAAGTCGTGACCAGTAGGGTGCAGCTGGTCGGGTGTGAGGACAAATACTCGCCGAAGACATTGGCTAGCGGTCGCGCTATGTCGTGAATTGGCAGAAGTTAGAATTCAAGGACCATTGGATCGGGTCCCAGTGGTTTAATGGTATACGAGCTCGCCTTGTAACCGGAAGGTCCTGGGTTCGAATCCCGGTGGGTGCGTACTGATGAAGAGTCCCAAACTAGGACGAAACAGCTGTCCAGTACTCCCAGGTTTTCCAATGGTTCTCTAACTAATGTCATCTCATGATGAAATCCTGAAATCAATCAAATCCCTACAAACCAACACTTGAAAATCTTGTAATTTATCATAGCAATACGATATCACTTAATGCATATTGTTTTCTTTTTCATAACATAGATAAAGCAAATAGAACCGGTAGATGGTGTAAACAGTAAACCTGGGCGTCTGCTTGTAAGAGCTCATTATACAGATGGAAGAAAGTTTGAAGAAGAATTTGAAACGGTGAGTACCTAAACTGCCACTAGGTTTATTCAATGTAAACTCATTGCATCGTATGGTACCTGTATAGGTTTAATGGAATGTTTCATTGACAGTAGTAGTGGTAGCAGTATTTATTCGATCTGTTTCATGGTTTATTATGTAGTTGAATTCTTTATAATGGTTTTTTTACCGGCAACCAAATCGGTTTGTTAAGTGTGACCCGCTTGCTTCACTAATGTTTTATATCCCGGACTATAAGGTGTGCATGTAAACACTCTTTGGAAGTTAAGTAAGATCTAATAGCTGGGTTGTAACCGGATTACAATAGACATTTCCAGCTGACAGGTGCAATAAGGTCTATCGATGGTGGTTCATTATCTACATAGCTTTTCGTTTTGTTCTTTATTTAATTAAACTCAAAAAGCCTAATTTCACTGGATTTTAATTCAGATGGATTCAAAAATAAATCTTGACTCTTTGCTTTATACATTTCATCGATTTTTTCGTTTTAGGTTCTCTTTGCTGTTGGTCGCGAACCACAGTTATCGAAGCTTAATCCTGAAGCCGTTGGAGTTAAACTGGATAAGTGAGTTTTTATTGTTCGGTTTCTAAAAACAGTGTTCCTTATTCCCGTTATTAAAGTTTCCTTAGCTCAACAAACTTGTTTTATGGTTGTTGAGTTGTATCAATGATATTTCGCAACTTTATTGTTTACCTTTATCCCCAATGAATGTAATTGAAGTCAAATGTTATTCTTATTCGAAACACCTGATTCTGTATTTGATACTAATCCTATTCAGCTCATGATTATTGCTTCTTTGCATTTGTTTATAACAGTGAAATTGTTTTGGTGCCTCATTGAATAAGTTATAAATGACTTGGCTACGAGGTTATATATATATAATTCCTTACTGTGAGCCTGTCATCCAAACAACACTGAAATACCACATTTGGATGAAATCTCAAGCCTAATTTGTGTACGGCATCCATAATCTCACCTATTTACTACGGGCTATTCTGATTGTGAATAATCAAGTTCATTACCTCCGCTTAATTCGATCCTTCGTTTGAGTCGCTTATTTTTAGAGTTACCGATTTTTCATGTACCAGGAAGAGCCAAACTCATTATGTGAGAGTTGATGATACTACCCAGTTGTCCGTTCTGAAGTAGGTGGGGTGGGACGTACTCTCGACTAAGTAACATGACCACTTCCATTAATTATTTCACCTGTTTTATATGTTTTTAAGAACCCCATATACCTAGGTTTACTGCATATCTAAATGTTTTAAAAAAAATATCTATTCATCCTGCCAATGCCTATGTCTACTAAGATCGACAGATGCAGTGATATGTCTCATTCGTTATCGAGGAAATAAATATAAATATTGGGGGGATATTTCAGTAACCGATAGAATTTTGGTGAAAAAGGTAGGAAAATCAGAAATATTAGGAAATGACTGAGGTATATCGTGAAGATTGTTCCTCATATATAGCCGAATGAAAATATTTGGTGATTTCACTCATTAGCTTAAACTTTCGACTTTCAACCAGTTCGTCCAGGCTTTGAACCTTTCTCCACAAATGTCAGCCTGGTTAAGTGAATACCAGCCACCAGCCTTTACACAATAAATGTGGCTGACAGCCTGAAACATGCGAAAAACTGTTCCAGGAATCTAATTCAAACTGGACATTGATATTAAGGAGCAGAGAAAATTACTTCTCTGTTTGCTCTTCCACTTACATTATCATCATGTTGTTATCGCTATTTTTAGGCGTTTATTCTAAAAAATTGATTGTTATGAATTTATCACTCACTCTACATAGACAAAAATTTCATTATTAATGTCATGCAGGTTTTCCAGTGTGTTATCTTCTATGTATGTCAGTATTTTCAAGTAGTTAAAATTTATTCTGTTTCTGATTATTTCAAATGAAATATTTATTACTTTAGAAATGGTCGAGCTGTCTGTGAAGATGATGAGCAAACCACTGTCAGTAACATTTATGCCATTGGAGATATCAACGCTGGCAAACCACAACTAACCCCTGTGGCTATTCACGCCGGACGCTATCTAGCTAGACGATTATTTGCTGGAGCAACTGAACTTGTAGGTTTACATAAACAGTGCTTATACTTTTACAGTTTTTAACATCATATGTCATGTAGGTTGTGTTTTTGCTTATCACATTTTATTCTACGACGTTAAAAGTTAGACTACAGTGTGTGGTTAACTTTCGACAGTGACTACATTTATCGTTTGAAAGCTGATTACTGTTTCATTCGAAGTTGTTTATTTCTGAAGATGTCTTTCGTTCTTCTGCGAAATTAGAATTTTTGTCGCGTCAAAAGGTGTTAGAATATTCCGCAATGTGTCTCTTTATCTTCAGTTTTTAAAGTAGGTGCTTTTTTTCGTAAAATCCTGGAAAGCTAACATGTGTTAAAAAAGCTTAACGAGTTGTTGGACAACGATTTTTTATTAGCCATTACAATTTGCACTTCATTGTTGTCAGATGAAGCTTCATCAGTAGTATTGAGATTTCTCATTTATTTGATTTCTCAAATGTGTGGCATGTAATTCGCTCCCGCCAAATGCAAGATGATGCCACAGGACTGGACTACTAGCTTAGAAATAAGGAGTGAAGTGGTAGAGCACGTTGACCACTTGAGTTATTTGGGAAGTTGCATCAGCCAACGCAAACGGGTTGATCGCTGACAAAATCTCAGCACGAATATAGAAGGCTAGTTTCGCATATGCCAGTTTACGCCGTCTTTGGCGTAGACATGATATATGGAGGTTAGGCGTCGAGTTCTAGGTAAACAGGGGAAATCAATCGACGAAGTCGTGAAGCTACAAAGACAGATGGTTAGGACATGTGTTACGTATGCCAAGCCATCTCCTCCCTCGACGAGCAATGTTAGCGGATATAGGGTCAGGCTGGAAAAAAGCTAGCGGTGGTCAAACAAAAACTTGTCACCAGTCAATGAAATCCACAACAGTTGGTCTAAGTCACGTAGAAAGGTGTAGACTTCCAGGCTGGGGTCCTCGGGACGGTAAAAGTCTATGGTTGGAAACAATTGGTGACATGGCTCAAAACCGTTCTCAGTGGCGCAGATGCATCCACTCCCTGTTGCTTTATGATTTCCAATGAAACTATATTGTTCTTCGTTATTACTATTCCTTTTGTCTTGTATCTCTGTCTACTGTCTCTATTACGCATTTCTTCTGCTTCCTTCTCTTGCTTTATGTGCTACATGGAGTGTAGCGAGTCGAACTGCCGCACATTTGTGCAAAGTTGTATGTCGAAAACAGACAGACAGACGGATTTCTCAAACGTGTTGATAACTAAATTTAGACAAAGTGTATTCAAAAGAATACTATGAAGTTCATTCATTGCAGAAGCTGTAAGAAAATAGTTGTAATGCTGTTGAAGTGATGATGTAACAAAATAAATAAATACTGTGAGAATAGCAATAAGAGATATACAAAAGTGCCAAATTTGAATCTTTCGTTTTGTGTCCTGTGGTGCAGCTGAGAGAGTACTTCGAGTAATTTTTTCAGCATAACACCATTAACTTATACACATGATTTATGAGTTCAATTTCATTTGACTGTGATATATTAGATAGTCTGTTTCCACACTATATATTCTTGTGTAATCCAGAATTTCAACTATAAGAAAAATTTATGATCATTTGCACTTTGAAATCATTATAAGTACTAAAAATCCTATTCTATGCATTAGTTTAGTAGGATAACATATTCATACCTCTAACATTATCTTGTTAGTCATCACACTAGTTGGAATAAAAATATTTATATGTAGCAAACCCGCTGTGACAATTGAGAGTAATGCCGAAAGTTCGGGGTCTTGTGTTGCTCATGGCTAAGAATAATAGATTTAATTAAAAAATATATAGCATGCTGAATTAACCTTTTTCTCCGTATTCCTTGAGGTCGCTACAATCTATTCAGATCCATTTTGTCTGAAATTTTATATAGTTAAACTGTCTAGTGTAAGTTACTATCCAACATAGAATATTTGTGATGCTGTTTGGTTAGTGGTGACTAGCAGTAGAAATCATCTCCGCCAACTTGGGACTCGGGTATACCTGCTGGTGGTGTTCCCGTAGTGACACTTACACACAGCCTACCTATGGTTTCAAACGTGATGAAAGCACTATTTGCTAGAATATTCATTACTATTTGAAAGTAATTTATAAATAGCGCGATAATATTTTATAATTAGCAGCGTCTTGGATAAAAGAGAATAAAATAAATTGGTATCATGTGGTAATAAATACTTGATAGTAAGTTAAATTAACTAATATTTCTGTTTGTCTTACTTAATCGTTAAAATATGGGGAGCATTTGATAGTTTCGTTAAGTGTAAAAAATAGAATATGCCCATAAAATACAATAATCTTTTTACTTTTACACAACATTAACACAGTTAAAAGTTAACAGTGTAATTCAACCTTGGGAAATATATTTAATAATAAATATTTGCTCTATTCTAAAACAGTACTTGTGATACAGAATGGAATTCTCACCATTTTACTACAGTATTGCATCCAGTTGGTACATTAACAATAAATAAAATTCTACATAGATTAAGGGTAATCTCAGTTAGTTATGACAACAACATATTGGCATGTCGGTAGCAAGCCAAAATTGAACAGTGTTTGAAGGTGTTAGAAAAGTAGAAGCTAGCATATTTACTGGCGTAAGCGGTAACAAAAAGGTCGAGATATACAGAGTGTGAGAGAACGAAAAAGAATGTTTTAAACAGAGTTTGTAAGGAAGGAAGAAACAAAGCAGCACATAACAGAGAAAAAAAGAGGGAGAAAAGGAAAAGAGAGAAAGAAAACGTTGTACCTATAAATGATATGAGTTGAGAAGACGAGATCCAGTTGTTCTACTGACTGTTTAATAAGTTATAGGTATCATACTTAATGCTTTCTTTATCGCACAGAACACGAGCTAAGTAGGCTATAGTTGAGTTTTTGTGCTTACTAGTGTGAGCATATAGTTTTTTTTATAAAGGCTTCTGGTTTTGCCTGATGAGATACAAGGGGAGAGTTGTGAATGAAGGACGAGGTGGTGTGAGTTAGATCAAATGGACTGAGCCCATTTTTCACATGAGTCCATGTGTCTGTCGACCAGAATATATATATATATATATATATATATATATATATATATATATGTATGTATCCTTAGTAAATGCCGCATTCTCATAGCACGTTAAGTGCACTATTAATTTAGAAAAGAAAGTGTAATATATCCTATGGTGTGGTTCGGTGATTGTTGTCTTCTACTCAGGCTATAAATAGTCCAGGTGTGGGTTTTTACTTTCTCTGTATCTCTCTGTCTCTGACCTATAAATTTTTTAAGCCAATTTTCAAATGTCAACCTGCATGTCATCCTTTATGTTAATTCGATCTGATATCATGAATCTTTTTTTTCACTGAATATCCAACAGGTCGACATATTTTATTCTTTAATCTGAAATCTGAATCTTCTTTATAGGCGAACTCTTATTACACCATTCATTCTTTTTATTTATACACCATACAAAACAGTATAAACTTCTCAATGTTTCTTTTCCGGTATTTGTTTCATTCGTTTACAGACAGACTATACCAATGTAGCCACAACTGTTTTCACTCCGTTAGAATACGGTGCTTGTGGGATGAGTGAAGAGGATGCAATTGAGAAGTTTGGTGATGATGATATTGAGGTATGCGTTGTATTTATCTGGATTCTTTGAGTCCTCATGTATCCATTTTCTCCTATTATATGGAAACCACACTTCATGTTTGCTATAAATGACTTGTTAAAATTGTTTTTATTTCGTTGGGTGATGTCTTTTAGTCATCATTCCTGTAGTTCAATCAAATTTAGTTTGCTTCATGATACCGAACTGTTCACTCATTTTTATCTTGTTTTGAAATTGTGAAGTTGATTACAATAACAAGCGTGATTAAAAACTCCGAACAAATTTTGAACTATGAGTTACGTATAATTGAACTTTTAGTGCTCAATCTGAGGTTGACATGTCGGCTTCTTGTGCAGATGCTTCGACGATGTCTGGGCATTTAGTTACTATTTAATTGGTGGATGGTGATTAGCAATTGGATAACGCTTTGGCGTTTGAAACTATGGGCACTGGGTTCGAGCCTCGGTAGGAACATCACTCACTGAGAAATGCAGGTACATCCAGATGACGAGTACCAAATAGGACGAAATGTGCATCTTGGATTCCACTGCTAATCACCATCCACCAATTAAATATGGGTTACATAATTCAGTCTTAATGATCATCATCTTACTTTGCCTACAAGCTTTTATTATGTTGTACAAATGTAATTTGGAGTACAAACTTCTTATGGAGGACTAAAAAATTATAGCTAATCAGATTTTTAAATGTAGGGTTTTTGTACTATCCTTCACCATTCTACTGATTAACAAACAAGTGTACACTTGCTAATGTGTAAATTGGACACTGATTAAAAATTTTAAATTATATAAATTTCATAACTGAACTCCTTTTAATTTGTATTTTAACAGTTCTTCTTTTGCCTTTTAGTTAAGTGAGTTGAAAATTCCTATCATATGTGCATTTTTACTTTATAGGTATACCATTCCCATTTCAAACCTTTAGAATGGACTGTAGCTCATCGTGAAGATAATGTTTGCTATGTGAAACTTGTGTGTCGAAAGTCTGATGTAAGTCATTGGTAAATGCTTATACACTGACTTTATACTCTTTTCTAAGTAAACTGTTTGTACATGAAGGGTAGTTTTATAAGGGATGTGTATTGGTTGTTGGCTCAACAAACTGCGAGATTGTTGTACCGTAGTTTGCCTCTTATGCAGAAATATTCGGCATGAGCACATCCCTAATGCTTTTTTCTTAATCATCAGAATATTATGCAAAAATAGAAGACCAATTCTGATATGCAACTAGTCATATGCAAATAACATAGTTTAAGAGTTTATCCTTTATAACAGTTTCGTTTGAAAATTGTGCTGTAACACGTATGATTTTTCTTACAGCATCTAAGCAATGCACACTATTAGACAAGTCATACTCTAAATATACAAGTTTGACGTCCACTGTCGGTTAATATAGCCAGTATTCGTTGATTTTCTGAACGCGTTTAAATCCCCTTGTAAACATCCCATATTCGGTGAAAAATGTTACAGCTCAGCTGCTTGAATTTTCATGTAAAGGCGCCTAGATTAGTAACTAAAACAAATTTCTAGTGCTAATTCATCCCGTGTCGAACGAAATAACACTGTATTGTCTTGTGCAGGGTGTATTGCAACCTTACAAATGATCATATGGGAGTAAGATACCACAACCGTAATTAATTAATTAAACTCAGAGATTGTTTCTCATTGGTTACAGCATTCAACTTCAAAATGTTAAACCACGATTTCCAACCCCCTTCACCAGTGATATCACCCCAGTCATTTTGTTTTTATAGCCTTTATCTAGTAGGTGTACTCATGGCTGACATTTGCATTGCTGACATTCATCTGTCGTTATTGTCTACATTACCAAACGCTATGAATTGAAACCATGTGAAAGTGTTATATTCTTTCTGGAGTTATAAGTGCATTTTACTGACAAGCTCTAACATGTACTGTCTTTTCCTAAAAGTTCACTGAATAATAGCACACTCGACTTAAGTAAATGAAATCTTTCAAGTAGGCCTGCTTTGTCTGACATACAATTTAGTTTTTCGTCAAACTCTTACACAGTGAAATACATCGACTTCTTTTCAAAATCCTATAATGTGTTTTTAGGTTAATTTCCATTTTTATATCTTATTCACTGTTTATTCTATTTCATATTAACCACTATGTATTACTTTAAATACAAAAATCATATTAAGTCACACAATTTTAGAAATTCGTTTAGCTTTGAAACTTCGTTGGAGTGGTCTGTGGCACAGTGGTTAGGACTCTCACCGACTATGCACATGGTCCGGGTTTCGATCCCCTGCCGACGCACGCCTGATATCAATGGTCGGCCTGCAAAATTTGGGCTACCGATATCACATTCTGAAAATGCCATACTTCTACCAAAAAGTACTGTGTTTGAATCAAGCTGTAATAAAAAATGTAAATAATAAATCATGTGATTTATTTGTTATCATGAGATTCAATTCCCAGGGTTATTTTAAGAGTGTCCTTTTTTCCATTTAGTCCATTTTATTTTCAAAAGCTTTAATCAATTTACGCGTACTTCTATACTTTTTTTAGAATATGCGTGTATTAGGTCTACATGTTTTGGGTCCTAATGCTGGTGAAATAACTCAAGGTTATGCTGTCGCAATCAAAATGGGTGCTACAAAAGCTGATTTTGACCGTACTATCGGTATTCATCCGACATCTTCTGAGGTTCGTCAACATTACATATTTTTATTTTCATAAAGTAATTTAATTACACTAAGTATACGGATATTTTTACAATCCCTAGATCTAGTTATATCTATAAGTTTGTTCAGTGGGGTGTTAAGTGTTTAATTTTGCGTCTATTATCCTCTAATCACCACCGTTTAATATCAGAACAGTATCTCAGCATTTAGTCTCCAACCTACTCGTTTTCCAGCGAATTCAAGGTATAATTAAACAGTATGTTGAGAGATTTGGGAAATACACCCAGTATATTTTTATTGCTTGTTAGACATTACTGAAATTCGAGAAAACATTGGGAGTGTTAGTGTTAATCCCCTTCATATTTAAACTGCATAATATTGCTTAGTATTACTTCAAATGGTTTCAAATCTTCTGAATTACTGAATTTGATACAACTATTTTTCTATTTTTTTCTTTCAGACATTTACTACTTTACATGTAACGAAGAAATCGGGTGCTTCTGCAGCTGTAACTGGTTGCTGAGGTTAATTCCCCACTGAAGCCTTATCTTCCTGTTCCTCCTAATTAGATGGAACAATTATGGAAGATTATATGGGCATTAGTGGGGTAATACAAATTTTTACTATCTGTTATACAATTTATTTTCTTCTGAACGTGCCTTTGTATGATCCGAATTCTCAGAAACCTAGTTCTGTTTCAGAACACTGAGCTTTTGGTGATGTTATGGCACTGAGATGAAGAAAACCATATATTTTTGTTCGTATTTAATGTTAGACTTGTTGGTCAACAGAATTCGTATGTATGTATTTAAAAACAAGCGCGTATTCACTTTCTTACCATCTTAGAATCTTTGTCAGATAGACTGTTTTCCTTTAACGCAATTTTTCTAATATAAATTTGTGACTATCAAATAAAAATGACGTACATAAATCCCTGTTGTTTTAATTTTCATGTTAAATCATCACGAACAATTGGCCGTCAAATAGTCTGCATTACTATACTCCTGGTAATTAAATTGTCTGACCTGAATATTTGGTTAAGTCACTAGTAGATGCTTTCGAATCTGTCGGCTAAAAACATGCACCCTATTAGTTTCCATGACAGGGGAATAATTACCGTTAGTTTATTTTTACAACATTTTGTAAAAGCATACCTTTTATAAATATTGACCTAATTCACTCATTGTAAGCCTTCGTTAAGTATAACACTTAATCTGTGTGAAAAAGACTACGTCGGATTTCATTATAACTATAAAACCATATGAAGAAGTTATCGAAGCTGATATTACTAGTTCATTAATCTCTTGAAATTTTCAATGGGTATTTTCTATCTATGAAAGCGTAAATTCATCCTGCGCAATGTGTTCTTCTTGCTTTGTCTTACTCACAGCCCCCCTCTTTTCCGTGCTTGTTACCGGTTAAAAAACTATTGAACTAGGCGAGGTTATATTTATGTTTGGTTCATATTAAGTTAATCTCTTTTTATGATGATTTCTATCAATAATTTATTTGTTGGTTCGCAATCCATTTTTGATGGTAGGATTTACCACATGCTAACTGGCTACCATTTACTTACTAGTCTTTATGGCGGCATCTTTGAAAATATCGAATTTCTCTGGTACGTTAGAAAGCCTTTTTCTATCAAGAAATTAAAGAAGTCATTGTATTGTTTCTGATTTTAATCGTCGGTCGATCAAAATGAAAAGAAAAGATTCTAAGTAATTAATTACCTTTCCAATTGGTATGATCATGTGACAACATATCTTATTTTAAGAATTTGAAAGCATTAACTAAAGAAAGTGTTTTGGACGGACTCACTTGCATGAACGCTAATGCGTCATATTACTTAGAAAAATGATAAATTCACTGAATAATTTCTGAAAACAGACTTTCTGAGTGGGTTCATTTAAATAGTACCATCAGATTAAAAAATAGAAACTAGGGATTGAGTGAAAATTATTTGTTGATCAGCATATACTTGAGCGTCAGTAACTCAGTAGTAGAATCCTCATTAGCCACATGCATGGTTCAGGTTCGATTCCCGGTTGACACACTCCTAAGTCGCGGTTAGTCGATAGTTATTCCGGTAAAGAGGGGAGGTCGAGTATAAGGCTAACAAAGTCACACCGTAAGGAAACACTGCAATTTCAAAGCTTGAAAGCCTTTGTTCCACTGGGAACGTACGTAAACGTATGAATATACTTAAGTAAATTTAAACTGTTAATGTTATCTAAAAAATGACACTGAAAGCTTAACTACCGAAGTATCAAGCATGGGAAACACAGCACTAATTAATTATGATTAGGGTGTTGATTGACGTTCTTCTCAGTAATATATGCCTAAATTACTGATATCACCTCAGATTTAGACATTATATCATAATTAATACAACTAGAAAGGTGATCTCTTTGAATTGGTTCAATGATGCTTGAATGTGTATTTAAACCATGTAGTTATAATGTATAAAAAGTTTAGATATCACGTACATATTTAGTTACATCAACTTTTTATATGATATGTTTGTCTAGAGGTAATAATTCGTGAGTGCTAATGGAAACTTGTTGATTGTGGTCACTATGTAACACCACTATGTTGCTTATTATATGCTATTACATGCTACAAGTCACTTACTTGACAAAGAGCTCTGCAGTCAGACGTATGTTGATAATTACTACACATTTAGAGAGCATTTGAAGATAATTTTTTATCAATTGAATACATTCACCTGATGTAGACTTACTAGTCAACAATACTACATAATGTTTGACTCCACTTGTCCAATACTTCTTCGATGGTAATTCTGATTATCAAAATAAAATTTGGCAAATAGAGGAAAAATATGTTAGGCTAAGGGTATATTAAATTCATAAAATTTATTTCACAATTCAGTGGTTTAATTGTCTATGAGCTCGTCTTGTAACCGGAAAGTCCTCGGCTCGAACCCCACCGGGTGCGTATTGATGAAGAGTCTCAGACTAGAATGAAACAGCTGTCCAGTAGTCCCAGGTTTTCCAATGGCTCTCTAACCGATGTCAGCTCATGATGATAATCTGTAACCAATTAAATTCCTGCTAACTACCACTTGAACATACCACATTTGTTCGCGAATTGATATCAGTCATAAAAGTATTGGAAACCAAGGAGTCCTGGGCAGCTATAGGACTCTTCGATCAAATTGTGATCAGACTAGGAACATACTGAATCTCTGCAAACTAACCAAATTAATCTGATGTTCGCTAGTGACGTCAAGTTTTAATCCTATGCAATGCAATGTTGTCTAAAGAGATGTCTTTCTTTATAATGGAATAAAACCTCACCTTAATCTACCGTGCATTGTGCTTTTTTTAACTAAACGAAAATATTGTTAAATAACGAAAATGATGTATGAACATTTTGTGTGGAATTGTAAACTGAAGGATTCTCATAACAACAATAATACTTTAGGAGGTGAAGGATGTTGGCGGTTACGAAAGATATACTGTATGCGAATGCGACTGTACTCATTCTGACTGGTTTCAACATAGAACTAGTAACAACATGGCACCGATGTGCAGCAGTTCGAGTCACCACATTTCACGCAGCATACAAAGCAAGGAAAGAAAGTGAAAAGAAATGCAAAACAGAGGCAGTAAACAGGAATACGAGGCAAGACGAATAATAATATCGAAGAACAATACAGTTTCATTGGGAACTATAAGTCACAAGGAATACCTGCATTTGCACCATTGAGAAGGATTTTGAGCCATATCACCAATTGTTTCCAGCCATTTGGTTCCATTATGGGTCGAATTTATTTTGATAAAGTCTCATAGTATTATACAGTAATGTTTACTGATGACTTTTCGAGCACAGTTTATTGTTCATATCACCTTGATATGATTATGAACAATGGACTGTGCTTGAAACGTCATCAGTAAACATTACTGTATAACACTGTGAGATTTTATCAAAACAAATTTTACCCATGATCGAATTATACTCTACCATAGTGCACAAGTTTTATTCTTATATCAATGATCCAGCCATTGGTGTTTACCGTCCCAAGGACCCCAACCAGGAAGTGTACACGTTCCTACGTGGCTGGCTGAAACCAGCTGTTGTGGATTTTATTGACTAATCCCATGTTTTGGATTGACCACCACTGGCTCTTTTCCAACCTGACCCTATGTAAGCTAACATTGCCTGTCAAGGGAGGCGATGGCTAGGGATACATGCGTAACACATGTCCTAACCATGTCAGTCGATGTAACTTCACAGCCTCGTCTATTGATTTCCCCTCTTTAACTAGCACTCGACCAAAGCCTAACCTCAATATTGCTCACCCCATTATACCATTTCACACGCAAGCGCCTATGATCAAAGACAGCTAGTCTTTTCATGTCTTTCACTCTCAATGGCCAGGTCTGACAGCCATAAAGGAGGACGGAACGGACTGATGAGCAGTACACACGTCCTTTGGTCGATAGCCGGGTATCATGTCTACGCCAAAGACGGCGTAAACTGGCATATGCGAAACTAGCCTTCTATATTCGTGCTGAGATTTTGTCAACGATCAACCAGTTTGCGTTGGCTGATGCAACTTCCCAAATAACTCAAGTGGTCAACGTGCTCTACCACTTCACTCCTTATTTCTAAGCTAGTAGTCCAGTCCTGTGGCATCATCTTACATTTGACAACAGGAGCGAATCACATACCAAACATTCGCAGATTCCAGACCAAGGTGTTCACAAGACTTGGCCCTGCTTTGTCAGCGTCTTCACCTACAAGGACTATATCATCTGCATATTCTAAGTCAACGAGATTATTCCCTGGCAGCAAGTCAATCCCTGAGTCGCTGAAGTGAGTTGGGGTTATGTCCATTATTACATGTATGATGAAATTGAATAGAAGTTGGGATAGTGGGCATCCCTGTCGGACACCACTAGTCGTCACCACTTCAGATGACAACTCGCCGTAAGCTCTCATCTGACTGCATGAGTTCGAGTAGAGTGCCTTGATCAGTGCAATGTATTTTCTCGGCATTCCTTTAACAGCCAAATATCGCCATAGCACCTCTCGGTCGACAGAACCGAATACGGCCTTTAGGTCAAGAAATATGAGGATTGTTGGATGCCGGTAAGTATGCCTGTGTTCCAGAATCTGTCGAAGGGTAAAAACATGATCAGTACACCCTCTTCCTGGTCCTGGCCTGCCTGCTTCCCTCGTGTTTGTTTCTCCTGTTGATCACTACGCATGATTATTGAGCCTAGAACTTTAGATACCATATTAGTGAAGCTAATCCCTCTTTGATTATCACAGGAAGACTTGTCACCCTTCTCGTATATCGGGATAATCAATGACTTATCCCGACCCGACGGGAATTTCTCTGATTCCCAGACTCTGCCTAGTACCTAAGCTAACGCAGACAGTAGACTGTCTCCACCGTACTTGAATACCTCTGGAGTCATTCCATCAGGTTCTGCTGCTTCCCCTCGTTTCAGACTAGTCACAGCTTTAGCAACCTCAGTCTACATTGCATTTAGG